ATGAGTGATTTTTTTTTTTTTGATTCAGGTGAGGTTTAGATGTGCGAACATTAAAATTAAGTAAATGATATAATATCTTTTCGAGAGAAATAACTAAGGAATTTATCTTCTCAATTGAATCATGAGATAATATTTATCCAAACTGTCTATTAAAAGATTTAACTTTTAAAAAGTATTTCTTTCATGTGTCGCACGGTATAACAACCAAATAAATAGATTATATAAGTAAATATTAAAATACAAATTTTAATATTTTTACCAAATAATTTGTTAGCATTTTAAATTATATATAATTTTTTAATAACTTCTTACACTTCACAATTTTAATTATTATCTATTATTTTTTATCATTAATGTTGTTTGCTACCATTTTTAGTATAAAACTGAAATATTAAATTTATCAATTGATTTTATTTAAATTTTTTAATATCCTATTAATCAAGTTTCTTATTGAAGTGTTGTTTATGTTATTGAGGCTTGAGGGTCAGTGTAAGGTATGGTTATGGTCAAGTTTTTTTCTAAAGTTTTTTTTCATATATTTGGGATAGTAAGGTTTTAGATTTGAACATTGCGTGTGTAACAGTGTATGAGTGTTAATTATTAAATTATTGAGAGTCTTTGAACATATATTACATTATATTCATCTAGACTAATAAAAAAAATGAGTTGGACAAATGAAGAACCTAGATTAATAAATGGTTTAATTTTAAAATTAGCTCCTAACATTTATCGGAATGGTTATTTTGGTCTATATTTTTTTTAAACATTTTAGCCCTCGTTTTAAGGCAAAAAGATCTCTAATGTTTGACTGAATAATCAATTTATAACTCTTATTATTTTATTGTGAATCATTTTTGGGTAATATTTTAGCCGGTGTATACGTTAAAGGCTTTGTGGCTCCTGTTCCGATTTCTCAGTTAAGGGGGAAATGGCACAGATTTTGGGACCATCAACTCAATGGCAGATGAGAGTACCAAAGAGCTCAACCTGTGGTTGTCCCACTGCAACAAAAATGTGTTCTTCATTATATAGTGTGGGTAATATTTTTTTCTCTTTTCATGTACTTTTACAAAGGTAATTTGTGATGCATACACACCGGCAGGTGAGCCCATTCCCACGAACACAAAGCTGCCGAGATCTTCAGTAACAAGAAGGTGGTTGATGAAGTACCATGGTACGGATTCAATCATCTGATTCTTCCATTTAAATTTGTAAAAATTCTTAAGTGTCTCAAAAATGTTCTGTTTAAGTTTGGGATTGAGCAAGAGCACACCTTACTTCAACAAAATGTGAAATGGCTTTTGGGTTGGCCTGTTGGAGGCTACCCTGGTCCTCAGGTAATACCCTGGTTTGAGTGTTGGCATCGAAGCCGGAGATCATATCTGGTGTTGCAGATACATTCTTGAGGTACAGGAACCATTAAGTAGACTCACATTGGACACATTAGTACCGCACAGTCCCCTCCGAGTCCGAATAACTTACCAATGCTTTCCACTATTCCTATAGAGAATCACTGAACAAGCTGGTGTTGTTCTCTCTCTTGACCCTAAACCGATAGAGGTAATCAAACATTCCGAACGCTCTCGATTCTTACTATTAGTCCATAACGGTGGGATTCTCAATTCTCGTTCGTGCTCGTGTTGACGTTCGCTAGGGTGACTGGAATGGTGCCGGATGCTACACCAATTACAGTACAAAGAGCATGTGGGAAGAGGGAGGCTTTGATGTTATAAAGAAAGCGATCTTGAATTTGTCGCTCCGCCATAAGGAGCATATCAGTGCCTACGGTGAAGGAAATGAAAGAAGATTGACAGGGAAGCATGAAACTGCCAGCATCGACACCTTTTCTTGGGTATGTAATGGAAGCCATGAAAACATTAGATGCTTTTTTATTTACTTGTTCATCAAGTTTTGGTAAATTTCAACTTGCAGGGAGTGGCTAACCGAGGTTGCTCGATCCGAGTCGGACGTGACACAAAGAAGAATGGAAAAGGTAATACCTTCAATTATGATACCGGACCTTTAGTAAATATTCCAACAGCCCCTTCGAATTCAAATAAATAGGTTGACGGCAAACATCATGATCGGTGTTTTTCGTCGTTGATTTATTAGGTTACTTGAAAGATCGGCGTCCGGCTTCGAACATGGACCCCTATGTTGTGACAGGATTGCTAGCAGAAACTACAATATTGTATGACCCAACACTTGAAACTGAAGCACTTGCTGCTCAAAAGGTTGCTTTGAAGGTCTAATTAACCCAATTTGCTATGTATTTAACACATCATCAATTGGATGATGTGTTTGTGAATCAGAATTATTGGGTCTAATAAACTATCTTCACTCGATTGATATTTTAATTGTTTTTTATAAAGAAAAATGAGATGATTTAAAATTTTAAAATGTCTTCCTCGTTAACTTTCGAATTAAACTATTGAAAGATCATCAATGACTATAAATTAGAGTTGACATTTGTGAGAAAACTATCTACATACGTAAATCGCATATTTAAATCCAACCAGATGATTCAAAGTATGGAAGAACATCATGATAACAAATAAGCGACATCTTAATCAGCCGAGTTGACGTTAAATATAACCCTAAAAAAAATAAACGAAAAGAATGATTAAAAACAAATAAAAAAAAGAAAAAAAACATATCAAAAAACAAAAGAAAAATGTCATAAAAACATAATTATTAAAAATTTAAAAAAATATGAAATAAAAAATAAAAATAAAATTGAGTATCGAGTATCGAGTATCGGCATAACAAATAAAGATGATAAAAGAGAGTAAGTGGCGTTGTAGGAAAGAAACTCAGATATAAAAATTTGTGTTGTCAATCCAATTTACTTCATTTGCAAATACCAAAATTTGAACCCTAATTTTACTTAAAAGATCTAATATTTCATCCCACAAGATTAATCGATGGGTAAAACCGTCTTTAATATTACTAAAATAACATATGGGATCCATATTTAATAAAAATATAATCTTTTGGCATAATAAAAATATAACTTTTAATAGAAGTATAACTTTAAATGTAATAAATTAAGTAATCGAATAATGTAAAAATAAAAACGAATGATTAGTAAAATGATTATAACAATCTTATAATTTTCGGCTAAAGATACTATCTCACGTCAACCTTTATAATCATTTATATATCCTCTAAATCATAATTATTTTTATTTAAATTTAATTCAAATGATTAAATCAAATACTTAAATAATTTATGTATCCTCTACAATATTTTTTTTGTTCTCCGGATTCCAAGGTTTCGCATTAACTAATCTAAATCGACCCTCGCTGTACACCTGACTTTAGTGAGTGAATCTCCCAGTAGAGATTTTCTGCATACACAATGACTCAAACTCAAGACCTTGCTTAAGCAATATCATACTGCTTACCACTTGAATCAACCCTTATTATTCTCTGCAATATTTAAATAAAAGGAAATATTTTTATATTTCAAATCATTAAGTTGATAGCAATGGTTAAAAATTATATTTTAAAATAAGATATTTGTCTTAATTTTATCATTAGATGTAATAAATATTACCAATGATATAAGTAAATCACTATAATATTTGGAATTTTATAATAAATCATGTACAAGTAATATTACTTATTAATGCAATTATATTTATTTATCAAATATTAAATATTTAATTGTTTTTAATATTACACGAACCAATTTATCTCAGTAACTAAAAGAATCGTTGTTCCTAGAAGTCACGAGTTTGAAGTGATTGCAAAATGATTGAACATTTATTATTAAATAGTTGAAACTATTTAGAATAGGTACTATTTTATAATCACTTTTATTTTATTAAAAAAATTAACATTAATTATATTTTTCTTACCATTCGACATTATTCTTTCCTTGTAATGTCGAGCAAGAAAAGTTTATTCCTTCCAAAAGTTATGTACCTCAGCATTAATTAATTATTTTTTGAGTAAAGTACAAAAAACTATTAAAATTACAAAATGGTCCACAACTAAAAGGTATTATTTTGTTGAGGCTCCCAACTATTAAAGGTTACAAAATGATCACTCGACTATTTATATGTTCTAAACTTATTATTTTCCATTAAAAAGTTAATAACAGTCTGAGTTGGATGCTGACTGTGGCTATTAAATGTTATAAAATGATCACTTGACTATTCATATGTTCTAAAATGATCATCCGACTATTCACTTACGATAAAATATGATCTCATAATTTTAAACAACTATCATAACTTAGTCAACATGTTAACGTCCAGCTCATACGACCGATAATTTTCTAACGAAAAATGACGAGTTTGGAACATAATGAATAGTTGAGTGATCATTTTTTAACTTTTAATAATTTAGAGACTCAACAAAACAACTCTCTATAGTTAAGGAACCATTTTGTAATTTTTAATAATCAGATGACTCAACAAAACAATATCATATAATCGGTATTCCATTCGTATACTTTACCCTTATTTTTTTCATGTTCAACCCATATTTTATTTAATAGCTGAAGCTTGGTTAACCATAATTAAATTCAGTATTTAAATCAAGATTAATCTTTATGATAATAAATGATAACATATAATTATTCTTATAATATTTACATGACATACAAATCTAACATGATAAAATATATATTTTTATTTAACCACCGATATTTAATATATTGATAGACTATTTTATATTAGATTTTGTAAAGATCCATTATAGGGTGACATTGTCATCTCAGTTTTACTCCATTCGTACATTTCAGAATTTGAACTCCTAATCTTGTTTAAGAAATTTAAAATCGCATCCACTAGACCAACAAACTATTGTTACAAAATACAAACTTTAAGCGTTCTAAACATTAACTTCAAAAAAATTATTGGAGCCAATTAAATTAAACTAATGATTTCATATTTGATTCCTTTTCCCTCTTGTAGGTAACCTTAATATTATATATATATATATATCAGTGTTCCCTGTCTCGATTGATTGAAGGTTGATACACTTAAAACTATGGGTTCTGGAGGATCAAAATCAACTGCATTGATGCTGTTGGTTCTGAATCTTGGGTTATATATCACTGTAACAATAATAGCTGGTTGGGCTGTAAATCAGGCAATTGAAACAACTCATGAAACTGGTAATTTCTTTTAACTCTTGATTTTGTTTCAAATTCACATACATACATATATATATATATATGTAACGTGTTTGGATTTTGTATGCAGCGTCTGTGTTATCAATCCCAGCTCGTATATTTCCCATATACTTTCCGATGGGAAACATGGCGACGGGTCTGCTCGTGATATTCTCCCTCCTTGCCGGTGTTGTTGGCGTCGCCACCTCCGTCACCGGTGTCACCAGCGTTCTTCAATGGAATGGCCCTAATTTATGTGCCGCCGCTTCTTCTTCCCTTCTCACTTGGGCCCTCACTATGCTTGCCATGGGGTAAGTTTTACTTATTTAAGATCTCCGGTTATCGGTCATGTTTATCGATTTCGATACTAAATAATCTAAGTTTTATTTGGGATAAAATTTCAACATGCTCAGTCTGTTTCGAATGAGGATAGGTAAACATCGGATTGGATCGGATTTTTGATTAATTTGATTTGATCAAAGAAAACTACTTTTTTTATATGAATTAAGATCCTATCCGAGTTAGGATAAACTTTGCCCGACTTAAATTCGATCTGTCTTTTGGGATAAAATTTGAACCTATATATATATATTATTCGATAAAATAGGAATATAATTGAAAAAAAAAGAGATAATGATATTATTACAATTATCTCTAAATATTAGATTGGGTCTAATATTTATCATTATAAATTTAAATTTAAATCAGATTAGATCTGAACTCAATTATTAAAAAAAATAAAAATAAAATCTTAACCTTATAAAATTGAATCAAAATTTATAAAATTTAGGTCACATAATCATCCCTAACTTTGACCTATGTAGATGCATAGCATATCAAATATTCTTAACCCAATGAATTTTGCAGGTTGGCATGTAAAGATATCTACGTTGGGTGGACAGATGCTAATTTGGTGAGTCTTTTAATTATTAAAAAGGATAAAATATACAAATGATCTACTTAATTATAGAGTGTTAATTTGTTGAGTCATCTGACTATTAAAAGTTATAAAATAATGTCTTAACTATAAGACGTTGTTTTGTTAAGTCCATGATTATTAAAAGTTACAAAATGGACACTTGACTATTCATATGTTCTAAAATCGTTCTTTTCCATTAAAAATTTGATGTTCGTCTAAGTTAGACGTTAATTTGTTGACTGAGATATATTCTTAACCCAAAGATTTTGCAGGTTGGCATGTAAACGGAGATTCGATTTACAAAATATAATTAAAATGATTATGAGATAAGATTATACCATATCTCAGTCAATATGTTAACGTCGATCTCATACGACCTCTAATTTTTTAACGAAAAATTATGAGTTAGAAACATATTAATTTTTTTATCATCAAATTAATATATAAAAAAAGGGTTTGAAATGGTTGCAATTGATGATAATGCAGCGTACTTTGGAAGTGATGACTATAATTGCGAGCGCAACGCAGTTGTTTTGCACGGGGGCTATCCATGCCGGCGCTGAAGATTTTGCTCCGACCACGCTTGCTGCCGGAACAGTTTAAAGCTGAAATTAAATCCACATTCTTTTATCTTTCATTCATCATCAAAGCTTATGTTAATTGCCTTTTGTATGAATGATTGTGTATGATTTTTAAAATAAAATTTTATTTATTATTGGATTTTTAGTACAATTATAAATTTTATATTCGATCGAATTTAAATTATATGTCAAGGGTATGGATTCAGAAAATTATATTAGAAATTTAGGGGTGTGAAATTAGATCGACAATAATAAAATATTCAAAGCAAATACGTAAACTATGTGGGAATTTGAAATTTTTAGAGGATGACCATACATCGGTTAAATTAAAATAAATTTAAGAGTTATTTGTATCATATATTTTCAAAATATGACTCTCATTTTAAATTAGATTTAAATTTTAATGTTATAATTTTATTATAAATTAATCCTTACACTTTTAAATATTCGAATTTCATCCCTTACCTATGATCTCCCTCCAACTTTTAATTTCATCCCCAAATTTTAATTTCATTCCAAACTATCGGTGTGCCTTATGCTACCCATACCTCTTGTTAATAAAATTCTTAGGCCAAACTATACTAGTATATGTTCAAAAAAAATTAAATTATGGTTGAAACTAATTACATAATTGGATGGATTTCAAAATGAAATTGAAAGATTCAAAAGTTTGATACTTTTATATAATGATAGTTATAATATGGTGATGAAATTGAGGTGCTCGAAAGTTTACCCATTAATTTAAAATGAGAATCATTATTAGAGATAAAGTTCAAATATTTAAAATTTAAAGATCAATTTAAACTAAAAATCATAGTTGGAGACGAGTAAGATGTTTAAACTAATAGGATTAATAGTTAGTAAGATGTTTCATAAAAGGGTAAAATACACAATTGATCCCACAATTATTAGGTTTTATTTTGTTGAGTCATCTGACTATTAAATATTACAAAATAGTCTTATGATTATAAGACAATGTTTTGTTAAGTCTCACGACTATTAAAAGTTATAAAATGATCACTCGACTGTTCATATATTCCAAAATCGTCATTTTTGTTATAAAATTGACGTCTGTCTGAGCTGGACGTTAACCTGCTGACTGAGATATGATAAAATCATATTTTAATTATGTCTACTGGCACTGTTGTTGCTTTCAAGCGCTGACATGCCATCATAATATTTCAAGCACTAGCTCGACGACATAATGTAAACAAAGATTCAATCCATGAAATACTACTAAAACGATTTTGTGATCATATTTTATCATATCACAATCAACATGTTAACGTCTATCTTAGATGAACATCAATTTTTTAACAGAAAATGACGAGTTTAGAATATATGAATAGTCAGGTGACCGTTTTATAACTTTTAATAGTCAGATGACTCAACAAAATAACTCTCTATAATCGAAGATCATTTATAATTTTTAATAGTTAGAAAACTCAATAAAATAACATCCGAGAACTATTTATGTATTAAAAAAAAAAGTTTGACCCGATTTGATCCGTGGCAAACCAGTGCCGGGCATGTAAAGTGTTAGCAAATCCATTGTCGTTTTGGATGGAAGCATGAGTTTAAAACTAATTTCTACAACAATTGTGGGATTGGGCATTGTGGATAAGGATCTAAAACCCGTTTACATTACCCAATTAGCCGCCAATCCCTCTCAACCTTAAACAAAGAACAACGAATAATCCCTTCCAATTCTCTTCTCACCATCAATCCCCCCCACCAATGAACTGCACTCACTTTCCATTTCCAACTGTTAAGCCCCCTTTCCATTTCTTGTTGAGCACTAATTTCAAAACCCTAACCTACCCAACTCCTACCCGGATTTTAAATTTCCCTCCCCACTATCCAAATAGTAAACCCTTACTATCGTATTGCAGTAAATCCCCCGATTTTAAATTTGTTTCGAAGAAAAGGAATTTTCAAGTTCAAGCTTCAATCGGGAGTAACAATGGTGAAACGGGGAAATGGTGAGCTGGTTGCCCACTGGAGGTTTAGCAGCTGATAAAGTTTTAAGATTGATTTCAACTGCTACTTCGAGTCCAATTTTCCAGTTCATTCTTCACCTGCCACTTTCTTGCATTCAGTGGACCCTAGAATCAAATTGGTAAACACTTGCAATTTCAATCTTTGTAAACTATGATGGAAATTGGTCAAGTTTGGTTCTTGGATAGTTGGCTACTTGGTACTTCTCATTTCTTTTGTGGGGGGTTGTTTTTATGGTTTAAATTGTTTTTTTTTTGGGTTGATTAGAATAATATCATTATGAAGTCTATGAATAAAATTTTTGGTGGATTTTTTAATGAATTTTCTTTATTGCAATTTGGCGAAAATGTCCAGCTGAAGTTATGAAACATTCTAAGCTAGGAAGTTGCCTAATTATTTAGCTGATTGTTATAATATTGTGAGTTGTCTTCAGGTTTCTTTTCTCTCTCAATGCCTTAATTGTTTATGCCATTGGAAAACTACAGAGAGAATATGTCATATGTGTATGCTTTGCTGTGACATTGTTTCCCAATATCTATCATAGATACTGATCTTGATTATGCAGGTATGGCTGTTGGCGTTAGTTGTTTTACCAGCACGTGCCCAAATAGTAGTTCGTTTTGGATTGGTAGCATTCATCGCTCTGTTATCAGTATTGTTTCTCCCAAAACCTGTGTGGGTGGTAAGGTTTTAATGTTATATTTTGATAAATTATTCAGTTTCTGAATGCAACTTTCATGTACATTTCTTTGAACTTTTTGCTTAATGATCTTGATCAAGTTCAGATTTTAAAATATAGAGGGTACAAATGAGAAATGACATTTTTTCTGACAAACGTGGTTTGTAGCCGAAGATTAAACTGCAGGTTAATTGTTTTTATTTATGCCAAATGTGTCTGGTTTTTTTCCGGGATGTAGATACTTTGTGCAAGTTGGTATAGTTATAATATGACTTGTCAAAGGTTCTGTTCATCTGCTGTCTATATACGGGTGCGAAATTATGCTGTTATTTGAAGACATTTTAAACCATAATGGCTTTTGGTTGCTTCCTCTGTTGCTTGGTTGATTTGTGTCCCTTAAGCTGTGTTCCGACCTTTCACATCACGTTTGAAGTTTAACATGCATGGTACTGAGGAAACATTCTATCCGTGTTAGGTGCATGCAATAAAATTTACTGATTTAAATAATATTTTGTTGTAATACTGGCATACTGTTTCAGCAATTCTTGTAGGATCAATTGGGAAGGGTGTCGCTCCTTTGTGGAATTTTATTCATACTGTCAGGGCTTGGTACTGATGGTGTTCCACAACTTGTTCAGTCAAGAACCCCGTCATCTTCGCTAACAGGGTTGCCCGATCTTCCTAAATCGTTAAGTGGGTATTCATATTTAATCATGAAGCTAGGACCGTTACAGTTAACACGGAAGGGCTTATCTGTTGCTAGCACAGCATCAAGTTTAACCTTCATTGTAAGTTGCTTACAACAGAAAAATGATATAATATTACTTTCTAAAACCTTCTACAAGATATACATAGGCAAGTGTGTAACTACACAAATATGTATATGTCTTGCATAGTAGCTCAGCAATATTGTGTTTGAGAAACAAATAAACTCTTTATAATTCTGAGATAGGTCTCTATTTTCTGAAAGATCTTTCAAAGTGCAAGTCTCTGCTTAGCGACCACGACCCCGGAACAACTTGCATTTGCTTTGCGGTGGTTTTTGTTCTCTTTGAGATATATAGGTGTCCCAGTGGCTGAAATTGTTCTTACACTCATGCTTTCCTTGAGGTTTATCAATTTAATGTTTGATGAAGTAAGAGAGAGACTGTATGTACTACTGCATTCTATTTAGTAGGAAAATTTTCTTGTTTCATGCTTGTGTTTTGTTAATGAGGGATTAATCATGTCAAAATTCATTTGTGAACAGGTTCGTAATGTTGCATTGGGGATTGTATCTCGTAGGATAAATTGGCAGCAGTTGACGATGAAGGAGACAGTTGATGGTAAGAATATTCACTTGACAAGGAACTCTCTCTCTCTCCCTCTCCCTCTCCCTCTCCATTGACTGTGGGGGGGGGGAATTTAAGTTTATGGGCCATAATAAAGTAAAAGATTTTTTTTTTTTGCGTAATGGCTAGCTTTCATGACTGACTAACAGATTGTATCTCAATTTTTTGATGGACAAATACATTGAGACCACTATCTGCATCTAATCTTTTCCTTGGGCTTCAATTTCAGTTTTTTGCTTCTTACATTCAGCGGATCTTCAAGAATATTTTTAAGCATGCAGAGCAAATCTCTCAGGTTCATATTCAGACTGAGCTCTTTTACATGCTATTTCCTTATTGAACTCCAACATTTATTTAAAGTCACCATTTTCCGGGAAGAAAATTTAGCATTTCCCATATTTGGTCATTTTATTTTAGTAAAGTTTCCCAATTATGGATCAATAGGTTGCTTGTGCCTTTGATGAATAATGCATGATTGTTCCATTTCAACATTACCTTTGCCGATGGCAAAATCTCGGGTCATGTTTAACCATCTTAAACTAAAATATCCAACTGGAATATACATTTTGAGTTTGACAATCGATTTCCATGCATTTGGATGGTTCTATTTCAGTAAACCTAGATCAATATATGTTTACCCTAACTTGCTTGGTGAGGTTTCTCCACTCCTTCACTCGTGTGACTTGTTATTTTTCTTCAAGTACTTATTTCTGTCACATTCAGACATAGCTAGGGATATGATCCTCCAACATATAGAAAAACTTTGAAAAAGTCGAGTGTAAATGTGCTCGATACATACCTGTATTGTACATTCACTCTTGAGTAATATAGCCTCTACTAAAGTAAAATATCTGACAAAGTGTATTGTATTTTTACAGGCAATGATAGTTAGGGGATTCAGGGGTGACAGTAATGGTCATAAACTGTACTTCTTATCAGACTCATCTTTCGGGATGGCAGATTTAATTGCTGTGTTTTGCTTGATCGATGTTACGACCGCCGCCCTATTGTCCGAGAATTTTGTTGTCTGATAACTAATTAACTGTACCATCTTATCTCCTCACCTCAG